CTTCTTCGTCGTGGTCTTCTTGCAGGTGCGTGGCGGCTTCTTCAACCTCAGGTCCGCTATGGCGGACTATCACCTTCGGCGGCCACCTCGGCTATGGAGCATCAGGTCCTGCATGCGATGGCGCGCGTGGAATAGCGGGTACCAGCTCCGATACCAATGCAATCAAACTCGTTCTCAAACACACTTTTCATGCATGTAAACAGCAACGCAGCATACTGGTGACATGCGCCCAATCAAAACTCAGAGATATGGCTTTCAGATACGAATTCACTCTCAATTGACTATGGCGACTTCAACAGCCAAACATCTCACTGTTCACATACACTGGATCACCCTGGATATCCCACACGCATCACTCTAACACTCGAACACACACACACACTCACTACTAACTACAGCTATGGCAGCTATCGCTGCATCTAACCTATCGCTATGCTACCTCCCTCTCTCTTGCCCTCTGCGTCCTCCGGGCTCATCTGCAGACCTCCTGGCACAAGTCGCTGTGGCAGCGCTTCCGCATGGCTCACGCAGGAATGAATGAATTGCTGGGCGCTGCCTCTTGATTTATACTTCAGAAACTCGTTGGTCTGCCCTTTGCCATCGGCCCCTGTGGTACTTGCTTGACCGGACTGGGACTGACTGGACCTTCCGCTTACTGACTGTGGACTCACCGCTATCCTACCGACGCTGTACTACTGTTGCACTGCGGTTTAGTCCACCACTTGCCTCGCCACTTGACCACTTGCCCACTTGCCTACCTTCTAGAAGGTCTACAGCTAAGCTTCCGGAACTCACTTAGACTTCTACGCTATAGACCTACAGATCGAACCCCTGCTGCCTATGGACCTACGACAGACCTATCAACTATCTGCGAATACACAGGTCACAGGTTCAATTCTCGGGATCTATACAGATACTGTACATAGGTAGGGTGAGGTCTAGGGATCGAACCCTGGGTACTGCATCCGCTACTGCTAAAAGGTGAAAACCGTTTCACAAGCCAGGAGACCACTTTTTTTTTTTTTTTTTTATGAACTCGCTTTCTCGCCCTTGCGTACCAATCAAGCGACAGCTGTCGCCGTCGACGCTGTTGAAGACTACGCGGCACCGCACCCAACCGCCAACCGCCGGCCCGACAGATGTCGGCCGCTAATTAGCCCACTGGATGCACGCGGTCGTGGCTCCAATACCAACTGTTATATGCCCGATTGAACTTCAATCCACAACGAATTCACACGTTCCCATACACGCATGCAATTTCAGAGTAGACTCGAAGGAGGCAAATCCACACAAAACCAGAGAGGAGATATGCACAGCGGAAGCTCAAAACACACAGAGAATTGAAAAACGAATTTCAATTCTGCAATCCCTCATCCTCCTCCAATCAATCCGGAATACTTATTCCAAGAATCCCAACCACGTTATCAACACCCATGGACCAATTATTTACAAGATGTCATCGAATACTTTGGGAGTCTTCTTCTTCCTCCCTCTTCCTCAAGCTCTAGCTATGGTGCCTGCGGGCACCCAACCTATCAAGCCTGCCAATCG